CTACTACTACTACTCCTGCTGCTACTACTACTACTGCTGCTGCTGCTGCTGCTGCTGCTACTCCTACTACTACTACTACTACTACTACTACTCCTGCTGCTGCTGCTGCTGCTGCTGCTGAAGCTGCTGTATTACTACTACTGCTACTACTGCTGCTGCTGCTGCTGCTGATGAACCCCAGAAAAAGGATCCACCGGCAAGACCAGTCCCAAACATGCAACAGGATAGCCAGCCTTGGCCACGCGCTTGAGATTCTTGAAAGAGATCTTGCCCGTCTCGTCATCGTCGAAGAGGCGGAAGGCCTGCATTGAGGGTGCATGTTGCAACTAAACGCGCAGTTTGGTCCTCCTGAACTACGTCGTTGTAATGTTATAGTCCGCTGGTGTATGCATTCCAACTCGGTCGGTACAATCAACTTGCTGATGTACTGTCGCGCGACTATCCATGTCGAAGATGATTGTTGACTCACATTGGCGCCTGCAGATGGGAGAGTGCCCCATGCGCCCCGGACCCGGATTCCTCGAAGTCCCCACACCGAAACCCCGAAATCCCGAAGTCCAAGTGCTAAGCCGTGCGACAACCTTTTGCAGCTTAGCGTGGAAACAACTAACATACCAAAACCTCATTCTCATTTTTGTCTTGTGTCCAGCCGTAGACCTGCTAAGTCAAATCCTCGCAAGAGCGAAGCCTTGAGAATCTCGTCCTTCGGGTCACGATTCAAGATCTTGTGGGTCATCCTTCGCAGTCTCCACTAGAACGAATCTGGCTCAGACTCACTACGGGCTTTAGGCTGTGGGACTGCGGCAACGACAGCCACCGTAACACAGACAATAACGACAACACCAAGTTTTCTTGCGTACAAGCTGCCTGAGCAGGCATCATTCGAGGACAATGCTGATGCTCACAACCATTCAGTTTGAGACAAACGGCTCCGGGCTTAGGGCCTAATTAGGGTCGGGCTTTCAGGATTTCAGGAGTCAGGGTCTACATCTAAATGGATCCAGGGTGCAGAGCCAGGGGTCCTGAATCCTGGATAGGGATTGATCTTGCTAAGCTTGAGGTGGCTTCGACAGCCACCAACAACTCGACACGCGTCCACCCGGACACTAGATGCTACACCGTGTGTCAGCCTACGACACAGGCAGAGTTCAGGGATGTTCAGGGTTAAGGGCTCAAGCTTCGCAGGGTGCAGGGCTGTGTTTCTTAGGAGTGAAAGTGTCCAGAAACCACATTGACATGCAACTGACTACTAAAATGTCTTGAAAATGCCACTCAAACCTAGAAATTATATTTCTTGACTGCTGCCGGATTTCATCTTCAGGAACTCCTCATAGCCGATGGTTCCTGAGCCGTCATCCTCGGATAACAGGCATCGAGAGATAGGGTTGCAAAGTCAAGACTGAAGACTCTACACTGTACACACAAAACTGTGAAACTTCAACCCTCGTCTCCAAATTGTAGACGTCAAAGCTGAAATTCCCATGTCCTCGAAAACCTGTATACTAAAAACCAAACTCTACCAAAATTTGCTTAACCGTACGCCTGGACTCCGACAGAGATCAGGGCTATATAGTACTTAGCGAATCCATAGTCCAAAAACCCACAAATCCATGCAGGAGCTGCAGTGAGATCCCTAACGGTTTCCACCCCGCCTGCCGCCCCCCTCACGATCCCCTTAAACTAAAACCCTGCACACCTGCAAAAACTCTGAGCCTCACAAACCTATGTTCTGAACCAGTTCCAAAACCCCAAACCCTAGACTCCAAGTCCTATAGACGTGAACTAGGCCGCTGAAGAACCCTTAAGCAAGCCAAGGCGCATCCACGTCGGAGATCATCTTCTGGATTTCCTCTTTCTTCGGTTCGAACCCCAGGGCACGCATGGCCACCTGTCAGGAAAGAGAGCTTAGCATTTCGGCCGGTCCGTTCATATTCGTTGCTTTCCAGGGTCATGGTGGGATTTTGGTGGGGTATTGATGCTTCGGGGGGTCTAGGGAGGCTCTTTCAAGATTCCAGTTCATGGGTTTCGGCCACTTACATGGCCCTTGTAGAGTTGATGCCTCGGGACAGGCCGAGTTTAGTGTTCAGGAGGCGATGTAGGGTTTAGCCTGAGACTTTGCCGTGATAAGAACTTTAAATCTAAAATTTAGCCGGAACCCTCAAGCCCAAACCTCGAGCCAAAGCCCTGGACCCTGGAAAGAAATTTGCTAGGCTTCATGTCAGGAACCATTGCGGCAAGGTGTTTGCTGCACCAGAAAAAATGCTGCACCTGGTGCATCTCATCACTGTCAGTCATATGATAACATTGCTCATCAGCAGTCATGCATGACGTCTGAGATGCATGGCAGCGCTTGGGAGATTGTTTGCACACACCGTGGGCCTGTCCTAGGTTGCCACCAACAAGTTCATAGGTTCCGCACGCAGGGAGCCAGGCCGAACAACTTGGACTCGCCTTGAGCTCCTTGGAGTCGATTTCTCCGGAGCCGTCGGTGTCGAAGAGGTCGAAGGCCTCGGCTCTGATCCGCGAGGGTTCCCCTGGCAGCTAAGTCCACGTAAGTTTGCTCTGTTTTTCTTTAAGAGGAGAGGGGGGGTTCTCCAAACCTCTCAAAGTTCGTCAATTGCTGAAGGCAGCATAACCCTGCGCCTGGAAGAGACGAATGTCTGAACCACGACACAGAAGCTTGACCTCCCAATTTGATCAATCGCCAAAAACCCCGAGACAGCACACCCGAAACCGATCCCCACAAAGAAGGCCCTGAGCGCGCTTCTCCCGAGCCGCCTCCTTGATCTCCTGCTTCTGCTCCTCGGTGAGCTCCTTCTGCTTCTTGCCACCTCAGTTCCATCCATCTTTCAGTGTGTCAGCGGTGAGAACTTGCTTGCCATGCGAACCCACACTCTCCCACGACCTGAACCCGTGGCCCTCCAGTCGAACCATGCTTACTGGTAGGAACAGATGCCGCGATCATTTGAGCTCCAAACCCGCGTTGAACCGGCGCAGAGCCATTGGCTTTGAAGGGAAAGCCTTGCAACCAGTGCTTTCTACTTCGGCAGGGCGAGATCGGGGGCCGGGGTACGTGAGCCTTTTGGGTCGGGGCTTCAGTTGTGGTTTGGGTCTAAGCACGGTGCGACGGCGTTTCGTAGAAAGCGACTGCGAGGTTCCAAGTGCTTCTTTGCGACGGGTTCAGAGGTTCGGGTCAATTTCACTGTTTGGGTTAGGGCTCGGGTGGTGATGTCAGGGTTAAGGCGGCTAAGGGTGCCATTTGGCGTTTGGGAATCAGGGCTCTTTGCCTTGCCGCATGAATCCAGGCCAAGTGGGGAGTTGGCTAAGGGGACCCTCCACCTCCTGACAGGTTGGGCGTGGAATTGCGTTCAAGCGGATTACCGAAACAAGTGCAGACGCAGAAACGGTTTAAACATCTACCTTCTCTGGAAGCTAAAAGAACGCATAAAACTCGGCATTCGTGTAAGCATTCGTTCTTCATCGCTGGAAGAAAGCTCGCGACTAAGATGACTGTCATCTTCTTGAGCTGCAAAACGAGACCACCTGAGCCCTCAAAACCATCCAGTCCCGACTCAGTGTCACTGTGTCAAACCCTTCAGCCATGCATCCCTTAAAACAAATCTTTCGTCCGTAATGAGGGGCCTGAGCAACCTGGACCAGGTTTGGAATTGATAGTGGTATAACTGTCCAAGGAAGAAGACAACTCATTGCTGATGCAATTGTATGGCCTTGTATAGCCTGCATATGCGCATGACCGTGGGCATCTAAGGTGGCAACCTCCTCCGCCTCCGCCCAACCATACACCAGCTTCAAGTGCGAAGTTCAAGCTGTCGGATGAGTTCAAGCTTCAGAGCTTCAGCTCTGGGTCTGGGCCGTTCCAAACATGAAGTTCCTCGGGTTTCATGGATTCCAGGGGTAGGAACTGATCTCAACAAAAGCGGGTCGCAGCCTGAGGCCTTCGACCTCACACTCGGCATTTGTTTTGAGCTCCTTTTTTTGAGCCCAGCGACAGTGTGGGGCTTATGCAAGATTTGGTCTAGGCTTGGAGTTTGAGGCTTGACCCGACAACCCTGCGCTCGTTGCATGCGAGCAGCGAGGGGAGGAGAGGCTGCTCACGGAAACGCACGAGGAGGATCGCTGAAAACAGGTTCGAGCCGGAAAACATGAATCCGTTTGGTGGTCTCAACGGTTCAAGTGGATTACACGGCTTCAGCTTGCCCTGGCAGGCATCCTGTCACACCACTAGCGTTCCCAGAGTACGAAGCAAACCCTGGATCCCGAAATGCTAAACTGGAAAATCAGCAACTGCCGAAGTTGCAGTGCCCTGATAGATTGGAAGGAGACTCTGCCATTCGAGGTTTGAGGTTTAATGTGGCGGCACTTTTAGTAATATGGGCCTCTATAATGCGATTTTTTTTCGAGCCGAGACCAAAAAAATGACCGGCT